GGCGGTGGGGCGGTGGGGCTGTGGGGCGGTGGGGCGGTGGGCAGGGGGCGGAGGGCGGTGGGGCGGACGGTCGGAGGGGGGGCGAGTGGTGGGGTGGAGGGCGGCTGCGCGGTGGGGCAGGGCGGTGGGGCGGGTGGTGGGGGGCGGGTGGTGGGGCGGTGGGGCAAGAGGAGGGTGTGCAGGGAGGGAGGAGAGGGTGAGTGAGGAGGCGAGGCGGCGTGGTGTGCCGGCGCGTGCGTTCTGACTGCGCGTGTGTTCTGACTGCGCGTGTGTTCTGACTGCGCGTGTGTTCTTTCTGCGCGTGCTTCGCCTCGAGTGACGGGCCACCGCCGCCGCCCGACTTGCCGAGCTGCATCGGGAAGAGGGCGCGCAGGGCCTCGTCCTCCGCCTCCTGCGCGGCCAGCTCCGCCGCCGCCGCCGCCGCCCCTCCTGTACCGCCGCCGGACAGCAGCGCCGCGCCCATCGAGTGCGCGGCGGTCGGCGCGCGCCCCGCGCTGGCGGTGGCGGCGGGGGAGGCGTCGTCGTCGTCGTCGTCGTCGTCGTCGTCGTCGAGTGCCGCGCGATCCGCCGCCTCCTGCTCCCGCCGCGCGTGCTCCGCCCGCTCCCGCGCCGCCTCGCGCACAGCAGCGCCGAGCGCCGCGACGGTGCCGACGGGGACGAGAGTGCGCGTCGCGCCGCCAACCGTGATTGGCAGGCCGTCGAAGAGGCGGAAGGGCTGCTGCGGCGCGAGCGGCGTGCCAGCGACCTTGGTGCCGTGCGCTGAGCCCAGGTCAGTCACGAAGAACGCGCCGCCCTCCTCGGTGATCGCCGCGTGCGAGCGCGAGACGCTAGGATGGTTGACGACGAGGTCCGCGTCGAGCGAGCGGCCGATGAGCCACCGGCGCTTGGCCCCGCTCAGCGCGACGCTGCCCAGCACGGCGCCCTCCCGTCGCACGTCGATCCTCGGGCCGTCTTCTGGCATGGCTGGCCCTGTTCACAGATAGGTTGATAAGAAACAAGAAGCTCACATCGCAGCCTTGTTATTGAGTCCGTGTGACCATATGGTGCGAAATCTTGTGCAGAGGCCACAGCCTCAGGGTACCCTGTGAGGTGGCTAAATGAGGGTCTCTGACTCACCCAAACAGTGCTCCTCAACTAACGGAGGCCTTAGGGGGCGACCCGGGGGCAACTCGGGGTCGCAGTAGCCCCTGACGGTCGAAACCGGACCCCGGACCGTAACACGTTTCGTGCGGTGGTGGAGTGGGACCGGAATCTCGCCCTTCTGGGCGCGGGGACGGGGCCAGGGGTGGCAGGCAAGTAGTAATATGCCTTTAGAAGGTCTCGAGGGACACACACTCTCTCTCGCCCCCCCACAAGCTCTGGTGGTGAGGGCACGACGCGCCCAAAATTCGGCGAAATCTACGCCGGACCGGCACCAACCCCGTCGACCTGAAGGACGCCGCGGGGGTGGGGCACACACACTCACACACAGGGGACCGGAGTGAGTGGCGCGCACTGCAAGATCCAGCTCGGAAAATTCTTTTGGTGAGCCTGTGTGTGTGCCAGTCCGCGCCAGTCCGCGCCCTTGTCGTGCCAGTGTGCTGTGAGAGAGGCTTGTATCTTAAGAATTCTTTTGCACAAGAAAGGAGCGGGAACAACCTTCCCGCCCCCATGATGAGCGACATGATGTCGGCGATGGCGCGGGGCTTTGGCGCGTCTATGGGCGAGAGCATTCTCGCGGGCGTGGCCGAATCGCGAGACGGACTCCGCAAGGCGGCTCGCGACGCGAAGCCGCCGGACAAGAGGCCTCACCCGTTTGACGCGGATGCCTGCCACCGGTTTGACGAGCTCGCCGCGCACGCCGAGACGGCAGGCTTAAGCGGCCTCGTTGACGAGCTCACGGACCTGATCGCGTGCGGCAAGCTCACGGAGGCCGCGGCGCACGCGCAACTCTGGCCGCCGGTCGCCGTTGCCACTTCTGCGGAGAAGCAGTACACGTGGCCTCACCCCTGGCGAACGCGAGCGCCGTCGCTCAACGACGCGATGGCCAGGTACGACGAGAATGGCAAGTACTCGCTCGCAAACCAGCTCGCGGTGCTCGTGAACCCGCGCTGGGAGGCGCTCAAGGACCTGGGCAACGCAGCGCTCAAGGCTGGGGAGCCGAGGGTGGCGGTGGTGTGGTACGAGAGGGCGGCGAGCCTCACGGATGCGAACATCACGGCGATGGCGTTCTTCAAGGCGCTCGGCGGCGCCGCGGAGCACACTGCCGCGGCGCGCCTTGCCAGCGCAGAGGGCGACCTCCGCGATGTCATCCTCCGATTTCTCCCCGACGGCCCGCGCGTCAGCGTGCCCTTCGACGCGGACGGTCAGGCCAAGGCCGCTGCAAGGGGCGTGCCGCCCGAGGGCACCGAGCCCAACCTCCCGCGCGCTACCTGCCTTGCGAACGCCGCCGCAGCCCTGCTCAAAGCTGGCGAGCCGGAGGTGTGTTTCCGCCGCCGCAGCTGGGCGGCGATTGGCTGGCCGGGCTTCTCTCGCATCCGTCTCTCCTGCCTCTAGGCCGCCCTCGAGGAGGCGATCGACGCCGCGGTCTTCTGCCCGTCGTACCTGAAGGCGTACCACCGCCAGGCCGCTGCCCTCAAGGCGCTCGGAAGGCAGGGCGTGGCCGCCGGGCTCGAGATGATGCTGAAGCAAGAGCGTTTGCTTCGGGGACGCACGATATGGTCCGGCACCAGCTGCCTCTGCAGGGCTGCTAGATGCCGCAGACTCATCCTCGCCTCCGCCACTCTCGCCACCCCCTCCCACGCCACTCCTTCGCCCCACACACCTCCCCGCCGCCCCCCACGCCGCCGCCCCACCCTCCTCTGCCTTCGTCCTGCAGGCCTTGGGTGGGTCGACGCCCTCGCATACGAGCAGATCCTGGGCCCGGCGTACTGCGCGCACGAGTGCGCCAAGATCGCGGCGCTCAAGCCCTCGTCGCCCGTGACTGTGTTCGCCTCGCTCGTCCCCTGCCGGGGCGGCCAGTGGCTCACCGTCAGCCTCGGCTACCGAAGCTGGGGCGCGAGCATCATGGAGGGCGGTTCGCCAGAGCGGCGGCACGAGTGCCTGCACATGGTGCAGCTCGACGAGGAGAATGGCGAGATCGTGGAGTCGCCGCCGCACGGCCGCGCGTCGAGGGCGTCGGCCGAGAGGTATCCCGACCTAGATACTGTATTCACTGAATACGCTCACCGTACCGTATCCTGACGTTGGTTCCTGCAATCATGACGCAGGTTCCCCGCAGAGCTCGTCCAGTTCTTGCGCAAGCTCCGCCGCGAGTCGTCCATCGAGCCGTCGCGCCTCTGCCTGGGCCAGGGGCTTGGCGGCTTCGAGCAGAGCATCCGGGTCGCGCTGTGCGAGGCGGGATTTGGAGCGGTGACGCCGTTCCGCGCCTTGGAGACGCATGCCTCCAAGGTGGAGGCGATGGGCGGCCACGAGCGGTGGGCCGAGGTCACGATGGGGCCGGAGACGGCGGCGATGGGGCTCGGCGCGTCCGGTGGCTGCCCCAAGTCGCCCGGCGCGCGAGTCAGCGCAGTCGAGGCGGCGGAGCCAGGGGTCGGCGGCGGGGCAGCGGCAGTGGCGGCTGCCGCAGCGTCTTCCGGGGAGGCCGACAGGTTGCGGGCGCGGCTCAAGTCGGTGGTGCAGGCGCAGATCGATTCCATCATGCCCACCGAGGCTGTGGAGGCGTCGGCTTCGGGCGATAGGGTGGCAATGCTGGCGTGGCTCGACTGCGGCGGGCGGGTCGATTGGCCTTTCGAAGTAGACGAGACTGAAAACGTCACGCTGCTGATGCACGCTGCCTGGCACGGCCAGAGGCGGATGGTTGACTTGCTGCTGCAGCGTGGCGCGGATGTCAACCATCAGGACAGCCATGGCTGGACCGCGCTGATAGCCGCCACCGCCAACAGTGCCGGCGGTGGCTTCGAGCGGCTGATTGAGTTGCTGCTTCGGCACGGCGCGGACATCAGCCATCAGAGCCGCAAGGGTTGGAGCGCGCTGATGTATGCTGCCGTCGAAAACAGCCCCGCCGTCGAGCGTAAGCTGCTTCGCGCGGGCGCAGACGCGGCGGCGCGCAATGCGGATGGCATGACAGCGCTAGAGTTGGCCAAGCGCGAGGGCAACACCGAGTGCGCCGACGCAATAGAGGAGCATCTGGCGGCGGAGGCGGCGCGGCACGCAACCGCGCTGCTGGCCGAGGTCGAGGCGGAGGGGAGCGGAACGGGCAAGAAGGGCAAGAAGAAGAAGAAGAAGAAGGGCAAGGGCGGAGGGGACAGCGCGGCGGGGCCGGCGCAAGAGGCGCCGGCGGAGGAGGCAGCCGCATCAGCTGAGCCCGTGCCAGCGAATCTGGACCCGGAGAGGTTGCTCCGGCTTCTCGCGGAGCATCATGAGGCGAGGATACGGGATGGCATCACGGCGGAGATTGCGGCGAGGGCGGCAGCAGAGGCGGCAGCAGAGGCGGCAGCAGAGGCGGCGGCGAAAGCAGCGGCAGAAGCCGCAGAGGAGGAGGAAGTCGCGGCGGCGGAGGCGGCCGTGGCGGAGGCGGAGGCGGAGGAGGAGGCCGCACTTGCAGCGGCGGAGGCGGCCATCGCCGCCACTAAGGAGAGGCGCGCAGCCGCCGCCAAGGCGAGGGCTAAGGTGACGCGGTGAAGCATGGGGACGAGCTAGGAGCGCGTGTTCCTCAGGCGTACCTGTCTTCTAGTGGTCGGCGAGGCCGTGGCCACTGTCTATAAGGCATTTCGGTGTTCACTGTTGTGGCCGAGCGAGTGCGGGTGGGTAGGCCCTAAAACGGCGGGAGGGGTAGGGGTGCCGCTGTAGTGGTGTGGAGGGGTCGGGAGGGCGGGAGTGTGTACCGTGACCTAAAGCCCTCCACCGCAGCGCACACGGCTCGGCCCCACCCCCCTACCCACCCCGCCGCCCCTGGCCACTGAGCACTGTTATACTACCTGCACAAAGATCGCGTGGGCGGTGACCTGTTCCTTTTTACCCATCTCACAGGAGAGGTGTCCGTTTTTTTTTATTATGTACACAAGTAACCGAATGTCGATCGCACGCCGATGTGGAGTTTCAAGGGCCGAGCGCGCTCGGTTTTTTGGTTGAGCACCAGCCCCAACCAGGGAGACTTGCTTGGAGGTCCGCCGCTCAACGAAATCAGCATCCTTGAGAGCGGCACTCGTGTCACACGCCCTCACACTGCCCGCTCACAACTCCTCTACCACGGTGCCTGCAACGCTGCTGTTAGTGTTACGAACGACGATCGTTTGGCTGTAGGAATTTGTTGTGAATGGGCAGCTTCTTCAGCGGCATCTTTGGACGCAAGCCCGAACCGGCACTTCCGTCGGCAGCGCTCATGCCGCCTAAGTCAGCGCCTGCACCAGCGCCCGAGCCCGCGCAAGGGGCCATGACCGAGCCGTCGGCGAAAGAGCGGCGCAATGAGGTCTCAGAGTCGATCGAGAGCGAGCCGCAAAACGACCCGGTCGCTCCCGCCTTGCGGCTCCCGCTTCGCCCCGATTGGCTCCCCGAAGGCAACATCGACATCGCCATCGTGGGTGAGTCAGGGACGGGCAAGTCGAGCCTCATCAACGCCCTGCTCGCAGTGCAGGATGGCGACGACGGAGCGGCTAAGATCAGCCACTCATCTCAGGGCACCTTGAAGCCAACGCCCTACTCGTACGACGCGCTCTTCTGCCAGCTGCCGGGCTACTCAAAGTACAAGTCCGACGACGCCTCCTTCGCAATCAAGCTGTGGGACGTCCCTGGCGCGGGCACCAAAGACTTCCCAACCGACACGTATGTGGCAAACATGGGACTCCTCTTCTTTCACGTCATTGTCATCAACTCATCGGATCGCTTCAAGGAGGGCGAGCTGGCCGTCGCCAAGGCTGCGAGGGAGCGGGGAAAGAAGGTCATCTTCACGAGGAACAAGGTCGACGATAAGCTTGAAAGCATGTTCAAAGAGGATGATGTCTTCCGCTCCAAGAAGATGCGTACAAAGATGCGCAACTGGGTCATACCTGATGTCCGCGTCAAGGCCGCCAAGGAGCTCTGCACCATGCGTGTCAAGGCAGAGGCTGAGATGGAGAAGCAAGGGGCGTGGACGGCCGGGGAGATGGAGACGGAGCGCCTGTTCCTCATCTCCGGACAATTCGGGCCTTGCCTCGAGCTCTTGTCACGCGACCAAAAGTACGCTTCTGTCCGGGCCTTCTTTCGCCGACTCCGCATCTTGCCCCGCGCCAGCGATTGGCGCGGCTTCATCCACATGCTCGTGAAGCTCATATGCCACGAGGCCGGCTACCCGCCCTTCATGGCCGTGCCGCTGGCGAGCTACCTGCTACTGCTGCAGGAGAAGGCGAAGATGAGGCAGTCGATCGGCTCTGTGGGCGTCAAGGAGTGGCTCACGACCTTACCCAACGAGGTCGACGCTGAGGGCCTCAAGGACGTCATCGAGTACATGCGAGTCGCTGCAATGGACACCATGGGTCTGCTCACGCCATGCGGTGAGATCGTCGACTCGGTAGCGGCTTCCACCTTCGGACTGCCGCGCGACACACCCCTCCAGTCCGCCGCGCCGGCGGCGGAGGCGGGGGCGGGGGCGGGGGCGGAGGCGGAGGCGGAGGCGGAGGCTAAGCACCCGAAGCGCGAGATGACAGAGTCGAAGCGCGTGATCGAGCAGCAGGAGGACGAGGAGGCGCGTGCCCGATGGCTTGTCAACGCGCCGGCGATGCCTGTCAACGCGCCGGCGAAGGCGCTCGAGGAGGACGTGCCGCCCGAGGTCGTCGAGGCGGCGGCCAAGGTCGTCGAGGCGGCGGCCAAGGCTGACGCCGACGCGGTCAGCAAGGGCACCGAGCCGGTGGAGGCGGCCAAGACTGCCGAGGCCGCGTCCGCTGCGCCGGCGAAGGCGCTCGAGGAGGACGTGCCGCCCGAGGTCGTCGAGGCGGCGGCCAAGGCTGACGCCGACGCGGTCAGCAAGGGCACCGAGCCGGTGGAGGCGGACAACGCGTCGGCAACTGAGCCCGCGCCTTCGGAGATCGACGATAAGAACGAGGACAAGATCGTCGCTACCAAGATCTTAGATGTCGCTAAGGGAGTGGTGTCGAAGGAGGAGGTGATTGCGGCGGCGGCTGAGGAAGTGGCTGCGGCCGAGTCGGCGCGCGTGGAGGCCGCGGCTGAGGCCGAGGCGGAGCGCGTGGCGGCAGACTCTGAGGCTGCGGTCGCAGAACCTTCTGACCCGGTCTTTCATGAATGGATCGGGGTTGAATGGGTCCCTGCCGGGCCCGGGGCTAGCCCAGCTTGATGAGTCGATGGCACGACAGCGTGTGTACAGAGAGAGCGTGTGCCCACATCGCATCGGCCGATATGATAAGGCATATGCCTGCAAGGAGGCCGGTCAGCGCCGGCTCGGTGTGCGGGCGCCTGAGAGTAGGTCGTAGTACGCGGATGCCAGGCAGCTAGAGCCGTAAGCATGGAACCTTCCGCGGCCCTTGGAGCACTTGGAGTGCAGTCATCAACCTCACATCCAGGGCCGGGGAGCTAAGAAGCGCACCCAGCGGGCCGGATGATCGGCATCGGCCTCCAAAATTTCTTTTCTTGGTCTGACAAACCGGGCAACGCTCCTGTGTCCATCACCTAAATACATACATAATCATAAATTAATAATGTTATTCAAGCACGAAAAAGGAAAAGTTGATGATCTGTGAGCTGATCTGTGATCTGTGACGTGTCTTGTGTGAGGGTCCGCCCGCAGGCCCAGGGGGCACATTTAGTTGATGATATATACTCTAATGTCCCCCCGAGATGACCCGAGATTGGCCAACATCGCCCCCACCCTCGAGCTCGCCCTGGTGTCACCGCAGGTGGAGCACGACGCGGACGTGCCGCCCTCCGCCCTCAACGCGTCCTCGGCCGTGGCTCGCAGTGCCGCGTCCTCGGCCCCCGCGCTCGACCCGCCGCCCAGGTCCAAGCGGAAGAAGAGCAGGGCCAAGGAGGGCCAAAGATGAGCCTCGGCTGAGCAAGTGAGCACAGTGCAGCGTGTCCGGGTGGCGCAGATGCATTCTGAGGTGGCGTTTTGTGTGCTTGTGGTTTCCTCTCGCGCAAGTATAGTTTTCTCGCGCTGCATGCACGGCTTGCGCTCGAAAGTCGAATGCGCTGAGTCCTGGCGCTTTATTGCAAGCCTGTAAGCTGCAACCTCGGTCGAACCTGCGGCATTAAATAAAAATAAACAAAGAGCTGGACAAATACCAAATTCCAAATCGCAAACATAGAAACCCAAACACAGGCGGCGACGTGGCATACGAGCTCATAGGAGAAGGAGGCGCACAACTTCCAAGGACGCACGAGCGAGAAGCACGCACACAGCCATGACGATGCCGTGAAGAGCCGCGCACGCGGGCCGACGATTACGCAGAATAAATAAAACGGACACCTCTCTAGACTCTACTAACCGAGACGTCCCCCCGGGCCCCGCGCCAGGGAGATATGCGAGTTTTGACTTTTTTGTTGGGGGGAACATCTGAATCGCCCCGGCGGCCGGCCGGCGGGGCGCCGGCCCGCTCCACGAATAGAGGAACACGTCTAGGAAACAACAAACGAACAGTCGATGGCATGTCACGGATACTATATAACTCCTCTGGGACTGGCATTCCTCTGAGTTTCCCCATGTACTGCCACCCAAGCTTCACGAGGTCTGCCGCAAGTCCTAGCGCAAGTCTCGCCTGCTGCGCTGGCGGGCCTGCAATCGGCACGGCTCACTCGAGGCGCGAGCCCGACAAGCAGCTGCGCTCCGTGCAAGCCGAAAGCCTCTCTGCCGGCCGTACCCCTGCCCTGGGCCGCGCCCGCCTCAGGGCGGTGCGGTGCGGGCGGGGACCAGGCTGGACGCGGCCGGACCGGACAGCGCGTAGAGGCGGACGCCGTCCCACGGGATGAGGATGAAGAGGGCGGAGAGGAGGAGGCAGCCGAAGGTGACGGCCGCCTCGACGCCCGAGTACGCCATCCCCGCCACCAGCGCCGCCGCCAGCGCGACCCAGAGCAGCAGCCGAGAGACGAGGAACGCGCGCAGCGAGCCGAGGGTGGGGAAAGACTGCCACTCGGACGGCGAGAAGTGCTCGTGCAGCAGCGAGGCCGCCGTGTTTGGCGGCCGCTGCACCGGCTCGCCGTACACGGGGTCGATCACCTGCAGGAAGGTTCCAGGAACGGTCCAGGAACGGTCTAGGAAGTACGGCCAGCGGCTCGCCGTACACGGCGTCGATCACCTCCCTCTCTCCACCCGCGTCGCCACCCTCGCCCGCGTCGCCGCCGCTGTTGCGCGCCGCAATGGCGGCGAGGATGGCCGCATGTACGCGCGCGGTGATGGGCATCTTGCCGGCGGGGATGGCGGCGATGAGGGCGAGCAGGCCCGGGATGGCGAGGAAGAAGAGGGAGATGAGAGACTGGACGTGCTCGCTCTGCGCCGCGCACGGCGCCACCGCGGGCTCCTCGGGCGCAAACAGCAGCTCGGAGCCGCCTAATATCTCGCGGCGATCTCGGGTCACCTCGGCCGATTGCGGGTGCGCTCGCGGCGCGCGCCGTCTGCCGCGAGGGCTCGCCGCGAGGGGGAGGGAGGGGGGAGGCAGGCGGGGGAGGGGAGGAGAAGCGAGAGGTGCTCGAGGGCGGAGGGGCGGGGGACAGGGGCGGGGGACAGGGGCGGGAGGGGCATGGAGGGGGGGGAGGTGGGGGGGGGGGGGGGGGGGTCACCCTTGCCCGTGCACGAGTAGCCGACGTCGCCGGGACAGTGCCAGCGCGCGTACGGCATTCCGATGGCGCGGCCGCACGAGACACCGCAGCCGCAGGAGCAGCCCCCTAGCGGCTCGTACCCCGCGCCGGCGAGGAGCACCTGGCATGTGTGTGTGTGTGTGTGTGTGTGTGTGTGTGTGTGTGTGTGTGCGTGCGTGGTTGGGGGCTGTCGTGACGGTGGCGAGGCGAGGCGAGGCGAGGCGAGGCGCAAACGCGGAGGGGCGGCACCACAGCGGGTTAGGCGCCATCCGCAATCTCGACGAATCTCGACGAATCTCGGCGCATCTCGGCGCATCTCGGCGCATCTCGACGATCTCGGCGAATCTCGGCGCATCTCGGCGCATCTCGACGATCTCGGCGCATCTCGGCGCGCCATCGGGAAGACGCCGCCCGCAATCTCGACGAACTGCTGCAGGTTTGTCTCGATGACCGTGTACATGCCTACGCGCTGAAGACGACGACATGGAGGGCGGGAGGACGGTCTTGTGCCGCGTCTTCAGAGCACCGCGTGAGTACGCGGGGTGCGAAGACAATGAACGCAGCGGAAGACGGCGGAATACGGTTGAACATGCACATTGTGCATGTGCATGTGCATGTGCATGCGCATGTGCATGTGACATGTGCATGTGCATGTGCGTGTCGTGTGCATGTGCGTGTGCGTGTGCATGTGCATGTGCATGTGCATGTGCATGTGCATGTGCATGTGCATGTGCATGCACATGTGTCCTCTTGAGCGCTGCTAGGAATACAGGAGTGCGTATTCCGCTTCTAAGTGTCGATGCCCTCGTCGCGCGATCCCGAGTGCAGCTCCGCGTAGTCGATGATGTCAGCCAGCATGGCGTCCGGGAGCACGAAGCCGAGCGCCTGCCCGAGGCCGACGGAGGGCCACAAAGAAGTGACGAAGAAAGGAGCTAGTTGAGAAACGAGCGAGCTAACTATACATATATAGAGAGAGGGAGAGAGAGAGAGAGAGAGAGAGAGAGAGAGAGAGAGAGAGAGAGAGAGAGAGAGGTGAACTCGCGCGGATGTACTGCTAGCCCGTCGATCGCGAGCGTGTTGTCTACCGGCCAGACGCTCGGCGCGCCTGCCCGACGCCGATCAGCGCTCCGACCGGCACGAGCAGCACGGGGTGCTGCGCAAAGAAGGCGCCTAGTACCGCACCACCCACGGGACTGAACCCAGACTGGGTTCGATACTATGTAGGTAGGGGTGCTGCGCAAAGAAGGCGCCGGGGACGAAGGAGACGGCGAGGTACAGCAGGCCGGAGACCAGCAGCACCGCCTGCAGCACCACCTCTCCTCCGTCTCTCCCCCGTCTCTCCCCCATCTCTCCCCCATCTCTCCCCCCATCTCTCCGGCAGCACTGCCTGCAGCACCAACTCTCCCCCGTCTCTCCCCCACCTCTCCCCCATCTCTCCCCCATCTCTCCCCCCATCTCTCCGGCAGCGCCGCCTGCAGCACCGCCGCCTTGCCGTACTGTTGTGCGGAGCGGACGAGCACGCCGATCGACGCCATCGCGCCGACGAGGGCAAACATGAGCACCGCGTTGTACATCGAGTTCCACGCCTCGAGCGCCATGTTGTGTTTCACCTGCCGAGGCGAGCCCACGCCTCACTCTTCACAGGGGGGGGGGAGCCGCCTGGAACAAGGAGCCGGGCAAGGAGCGTGTGCTGTGAATAGCAGCTGTGAATAGCAGGCGTGGTCTCTACTCGCCAAGTGCTTCACCCAGGAAGTGGTAGACGCCCGAGGGTTGGTGACGGCTAGCACCCCCTCACTCCTCTCCTTAACATCCCCTGTGTGGTGGCGGCGTGCCGTCCTCCCATCCCCTCCCCTTTGGGTGGTCTGTTTTCTGTCTTTGTTGTGTGCTTCACCCAGAGCGCGGCCAGGTTCGACGGCATCAGCGACACCAGCGAGAGCGGCATCTTCATCAGCAAGTAGACCAGGTACGGCTTGTTGGCGAGCACGCGCCTAATACCGCACCACCCACGCGACTGAACCCAGACTGGGTTCGATACTATGGAGGTGGGGTACGGCTTGTTGGCGAGCACGCGCCGCGCCGACGGCACGATCGGCACGGGGAGGATGGTGTGGTCCTGTTCAGCCACCGTGCACCGCTCAGGGAGGAGAGAAGAGGGTGCAGACCGGCAGCCCGGGGGGGGGGAGGGTGGCGTGTGGTCCTCGGGCGGAGGAGGCCTCTCGACCACGTTGCAGAGGAGCGAGGCCCACGCCAGCACGGCGAGGGAGCCGACGGCGAGGGCGAGCATCGAGTAGAGCGCGACGAGGTCGTCGGCAAGGAGGGCAGACAGGCCGATGTTGAGGAGGGGGGTTGCCGCGTACCTAGGGAGGGGTTCGGGTACCGTGGGGGTAAGGGGTGGGTGCGGGTACCGTGGGGGTAGGGGAGGCCGGGGTTGAGGAGGGGGGGCTGCCGCGTACCCGACGAACTGGAAGAGCGTCTTCAGCCCGAACAAGGAGGAGCGCTCGTCGTAGCTGTCCGTCAGCTCCATCCCGAGGGCGTCGTAGGGGATCTGCGAGCAGGTGTAGGCGCCTAGACAAAGAAGCCGGGCCGGGTTTCTGTTTTGAGCGCGTCGTAGGGGATCTGCGAGCAGGTGTAGGCGCAGGCGAGGTACGTGGCGTAGAGCAGCGCGAACCAAAAGGAGAGCTGCCAGCCCCCGCTCTGCAGCGAGGCCACGCGCGACGGCGAGGTAAAGTCGAATCGGTCGATCTCTCCCTGCTGCATCGCGCGCTCGAGGCAGTCCTTCAGCGCCGGGCAGCCGGCTGGCGACGACGTGTTTAGCACCAGGTGCGTGCACGGCGGCGGGCGAGGCTTTGCGCGCGCGAGGCCGAGCCCGACCGAGGGCGCGTTCACGAAGAGAAAGAAGGCGAGCAACGCCAGCGGGAAGGCGACGGCGATGAAGGGCTTGCGCCGTCCCCAGCGGGTGCGCGTGTTGTCGGACGCCTTGCCGACAGTGAAGCCGAGGAGCAAGTCGAGCGACTTCACCGCGGAGATGAGCGACGCCTGCGAGGAGAGGGTCTGGCCGAGCGTGTCGACCCAGATGACCTGCCTCGCCGGCCGAAACGTGAAGTCGAGCGACGACAGCGGCAGCCGGAAGAAGCAGTACGCCAGCCTCGAGCCGGCGCTCAGCGGCGGCCGCGCCGCAGACACCGCCCGGCCGCCGCGTGCCGCCGCCGGCGCCGCGCCGTTGTTTCCGTCGTCGCCGCCGCCGTGGTGCTTGAGGCTGAGCTCGAGCGTGTCGGCCATCGATCCGTGAGGCGCGCCGCCCCTGCCGAGGACGGAGACGAGGCGGCGAACGACCGCCCTGCAGCCGCCCTGCAGCCGCGGCTCGTCCGTCTGCATGAGGAGCGGGACGTCGATCTTTGCAGCGTACAGGGCGGTGGGCTGTGATGTGTTGCTAGGTGCTAGTCGATGCGAGCTTCCTTCTGCAAGAGCGAAAGAATTCAGTGTCGGATCTGTGTGCAGGGTTTTCTTTTTCTCTCGCGAATATTAACGAGAGAAGAATGGTGTTTCGGGGGCACCTCTCGCTGCTGCTGCCTTGCTTGCTGCTGGCCGGCTCCTGCTCCGCGCTGCGAGCGGTGGGTCCGCGCGCGCCGACTGCTGCTGCTGCCTCTGCGGCCATCTCGCGCAGCGTCGCCCCGCGCGCCAGCGGATCGAGCGTGGTCGACATCTCGTCGAAGACTGAGTTTGAGGCGGTGCTCGACGTGCGGCTCACCCACGCCTGCAGCCCCCGCCGCCCTCGCCACCCTCGCCGCCGGCCCAAGCACGCCACGGCCACCTCGCCGCCGTGACGGTCGGGCTGCCGCCGCTCCCATCGCTGCCGCAGCCAGTGCCGCCGCCGCCGCCGCCGCCTGCTTTGCCCAAATGCCTCTCCACGCCGCGTCGCCGCCGCGCGCTGCCGAGCCCTGAGCTCCCGCCGCCCCGCCGGCTGCAGAACGCCGGCGACGCGCTCGTGGTGGTCGACTACTCCACGTCGTGGCGCGTCCCTCGCCGCCGCCGCCGCCGCCGCCGCCCTGCCGCCGCCGCCCTGCCGCCGCTGCCCGCCGCCGCCGCCCGCCGCCTGCCGCCGCCGCCCGCCGCCTGCCGCTCGCTCCCCGACTGAGCTGAGCCCGTCCTCCACGCCCCGGCGCCGACGCCGCCCCACCTCGCTGGTGCAGGTGCGGCCCGTGCAAGATCATCGCGCCAAAGTACGACGAGATGAGCGAGAAGTACACCAACGTCAAGTTCCTCAAGGCACTTCCTAGACGCTTCCTAGACGCTTCCTAGACACTTCCTATGTACACCAACGTCAAGTTCCTCAAGGCACTTCCTAGACGCTTCCTAGACGCTTCCTAGACACTTCCTATGTACACCAACGTCAAGTTCCTCAAGGCGCGGCCTGCCAGCGGCGTCAATCCCTCGCCTCGCCCTCCCCACGACCCTCGCCCACCGCCCTCGCCGCCGCCCTCCCCACGACCCTCGCCCACCGCCCTCGCCGCCGCCCTCCCCACGACCCTCGCCCACCGCCCTCTCCGCCGCCCTCTCCGCCGCCCTCGCCGCCGCCCTCGCCGCCGCCCTTTCCGCCGCCCTCTCCGCCGCCCTATCCGCCGCCCTCTCCGCCGCCCTCGCCGCCGCCCTCGCCGCCGCCCTCGCCGCCGCCCTCGCCACCGCCACTGCCACCGCCACTGCCGCCGCCACCGCCCTCGCCACACACGCACCCTCCGCGCAGGTGATGGGCGATGCGTCACCAGAGGCGGATCAGCTGATGCGGTCACAGGGCGTGCGGGCGCGTCGCTCCCGCAAGACGCCTCTCCCGCCAGACACCTCTCCCAGAC